GGGGGGGGGACTTTTCGAAAACTCTTGATGCACGCTGCGACATCGTCGGTCGTCGGTGGAAGGACGGAAACGTTGAGACAGACGGACAGACGCAAACCGTGCAGAAATTTTGGCCTTGTGTTAAATTTTTAATTGTACGACACGATGAGAGCTAACTTGGTGAAAAAAAAAGGAACTAGGTGGAAGTCTACGTAGGAAAGCCATGTGTAAGAGCATAGTTGGTTCCTGCGTTAAAAATCCAGATAGGAATGCGTGTGGACTGTCGTATGGATTTTCACAAATCCTGTGGGTTCCTATATGAATTTCTACGCAACATCCCAGTCAGTTTATTCGACATTGAATCATTGAAAGACGGACGCAACACAAATGGAAAACGTAATAATCGTGACGTTCGTCGGCTATGCGCCGCGCCGCGGCTGCAGAAATCTCACGGCAAATAATGAGAGTTAATTGCTGGGTTCCGATACGCACACGCATTAGGTACACGCAGGCGAAGCTAATTTTGAACAGGTGGTTGGTCCATCCCGCGTTTATATCGTCCGTCATTATGCGAATGTATAATGTGCGTGCAACACGGCGCGCAGAGCGCGCATGCCACGATGGCGCAGCGCGGGATTCCATTGTACGTGATTGCATTGTGAATCACCATCGACCTGAATGGGAATCGATCCGATTGACACGTGCTCGACCCGTCGTCTCGTCCATCCGTCCGCTTTACCTTTCATGTGTGAATAATAAGACGAGCGCGCGCCGCGATGAACCGAAGATATTAACCGCGTTGAAATTTCGGCCCTACGTTAAACCGTTAATTCTACATCGAGGGCTAAAACAGCCGAATAGGTTTAATTTCAATTCTAATAATCTATTTTTGCTGCTACTTTAATCCTGACGGTTAAGGTTTTCATTAGTCGGTATGTACCGAAATAGACGCGAACAATCTTTAAGAGCGTCGAGAGGAGCATCGAAACTTCGGCTCTGATAACCCGCTGCTCGAACACGGCGAATTTTTTCTCCCGAATATCGCGGGAGCGGTTCGTCTCGTTGGAATCTAAACTCGATTTTTTTTTTGTCAGCGAGAAATTCGCTCGAACATCGTCTCGCGCTTTAGTTCCCAACGTTGATTGTATATCTCAGCAATCGAATTACACGGATGAAAATCACGCTGGAATTTAACCGAGAGTCTAGACTAAGTGAGGAGTACGATTTCGTCATGTGTGTGTTTGCGTGTGTGTATGTGTGTTAATGTCTTTTGAAAGTTAATACGCATTTGTTAATACGCATTGAATCGCGAAAGGAGTCTGCGAGTCTGTACCATTGACATTCAGTACCGTGCATATCTTTATTAAACGTCTCTCTCTCTCTCTCTCATTCTCCTCATCGAAAGGTTTGGATATTCGGAGATTTCTGGTGCTCCGTGTGGCTGGCGGTCGACGTCTGGATGTGCACCGCGTCGATATTGAATTTATGCGCCATCAGCTTGGATAGATACTTAGCTGTGACCAGACCGGTCAGTTATCCTCAGGTAAGTACCATTCAGTGTCTGCTTGCGAGAACGATTATTCCGGCGAGCTCGGCTCGGCGTTGCACGATGATTGATCGATTCAGTCGGCCGGCGCATTCGTGCATGGACAAAATTGTCCGTTGACAAATATCCCGCGTAACGGGAGCGTATACTAAGAGAAAGATTTCTTCAAATTTAACATGTTATTTAATAATATACAATATTTAATAAATTTTATCGCGTCCAATCGAACCGATCCGTACGTCGAGCTGAAACGCTGATAAGCCGATAATCTATTTATTTCATTATCGCATACCTACGTGACTTTCCACCGGACCTGTCCGTTAATCGCCTCGTCTTCCGTTTCCGTAAATCCAGCTTATGTCGACGAAGAGGGCCAGGCTGCTGGTGGCGGCCGTTTGGGTTTTGAGCTTCGTCATCTGCTTCCCGCCTCTGGTGGGCTGGAAAGACAAACGGGTACGTAACCACGTCTAATCCGCCGCCGTTGCAGGGCTGACTTTGAGTCGAGTCTTCATTGTCCGATCGCTCCCGCCTGTCCAGCTTGCCCCGGTCAGCTCGTTCTTTTTTCACGCGTTTAATCCCCCCCCCCCTCTCCACCCCCTCTCTCTCTCTATCTATCTATCTCGATTCACCTGTCTCTCTCTTCGCTTTCGCAGTCGCATCCCGCGTACAATGTAACGTTCCCGCCGTACGGCCCGTCCAATACCACCACTATTCTCGTGCCGGTCAAGCCGTGTCCATGGATCTGCGAGTTGACCAACGACGCCGGCTACGTCGTCTATAGGTAGGTGGGGATTCCCAGGTGGGAAATCCTCCCCCTTGGAGGATTTCTCGGCGCCTCGTCTCTAAGGAGACGCGTGAAATTATCGCGACGCGCGAGAGGGAAAATCCGGCGCGCTCTCTTGACCTCTTTTCCGTCGCGCTCTTTCACGTCGGGACAAATTGGCTTCTCGCATGCCACCGCATACTTTCGGCAGGAACGAACGAACGACGCGGCCGGAATGTCACCGTTTCCCTCTCCCCCACGCACGCGCCTCTCCTCGTTAATAAATTATCGCGTGATTCTATCCGCGCGGATTTATCCGCGACCTCGATGTTTTCGTATCGGGATTAAACTTCCGCGATTGATCCTTGAAATCTGCAAAATATCCCGCAACGCCGGAAACGCCGAAATTTCGGCCCTGTGTTAACCCTTTAATTCCTACGGCAGAGTAGAGAGATTAAAATAGCTAGATTTATCTTTGATTCTAATAATAATACAAGTTACTCCTATTTTTTGACCCCGATGACGTCTTGAATGATGTCCATTTTCGTTGTCTTGGCACTAAAGTCGCTTGTTCAAGACAGCGCTAATATTAATTATGTAGAATTAAAGATTCGAAAGAGAGTCAATATTGCCAGAGTAGGTTTTCATCTTGGATGGTACCCAGCTAACAAGAGCATTTAGATCGTCTCTTGCTGGAAAGCAACTGTAATTATACGTGAAGTCACCAAAATCGTATCTGCATTGAAAATGTTAAGTTTAGATATATTATAGATACGCGATGAAACGGGTCTAGTTGCAGGTATAGTTGCTAAAATGAAAGATGTGACTAATTACAGATAAAAGTGCGCAAAAAGTATCTAGATACTGCGATTAGATACGTTACAACTCGCTGGTGAAAAAACTGGCATCAGCATTCCCCGACTCGGGGTAACGAACGGTGCGCGAAATGGGTGCAGTTTCCGAATTGGAAAGGTCATCGAGCACGACGCTGAAAATTCCGGCAGCCGGCCGATCGGCCGACCACGCCGGTAATGACTGTTTCTATTTCCACGTCGTTATCATATTACGCGCGCGCAAATCAATCAAGACGGTCTATATGCATGCATACATGCACAGTTCGTTGGCGGTCGATAAGTTAATAAATCGTTACCGCACTCGAGCGTGTCCGGATGCGTTTCGAGTGCTCGTCCGCTCGCTCGCTCGCCGCTCACCGCGGCATTCGATCGGAACCCTCCTCGGCCTCGTTTATTAAAGCCGGTCGCCGAATTAATATTCGGTGGTCCGCGTCGAAACGCGCGTGCCTCGGACACGAGCAAACGAGAGAGCCGGGTCGCCGTTGAGAGGGGAATCACGCGAGATCACACAGCCGCACTCCTTTCTCTCTGTCGCAGCGCCCTGGGTTCCTTCTACATACCGATGCTGGTAATGATGTTTTTTTACTGGCGGATCTACAACGCCGCGGTCTCCACGACGAGGGCGATTAATCAAGGCTTTCGGACAACAAAGGCCTCGAAGATGCTCGGCACCAGGTATACCCGGGAACCGAAGTCTATTTTTTTCTTCTCGGCGCTTCCGCCTCACCGTCGTTGTCGAGAATATCTCGGATTTTTGGAATGTTTATTTTCATCTTAAAATTCTCGGAAAAGTCCTATTAAAAGAATTTCACCTTTCTGCACGTTACATTTTATCATATTATCGTGATCTTATCGACTTCTCTCAGCGTATCTCTCTTTCTCTCGAAATGCCGCGTGTAAATTCCCTCGCGCTTCAAACGCAACATTCCGCCGTGCCCCGTCTTCCCTTCGACTCCCTCCGTTTCGCCGGTGAACTCGCGATTGAACTTCCCGTTCGCGCGAGGAGGATTCTTTACGCCGCCGGGAGCTTCGTTACGCTTCCCCGGGAGCCGAACATAATGGAGCGGCCACGTGAGAGGCGCGACTTCCCATTCTTAGGTGCAGGTTCGACGAACAAAGACTGACCTTAAGAATACACCGCGGCCGCGGCAGCCTCCAGAACGGGAGCAATAACGGCAACTCGACGAGAAGTCCGGACTCGAGCAGCCGGTGCTCCGTCAAAAGGGAGAAGATCAAGATCTCGGTCTCCTACCCGAGCTCCGAGACGCTCAACACCAAGTGCAACACCCTGGAGAGAACGCCGTCGAGGTGCTCGCAAATCTCCGTGCATTACAGCAACGGGCAGACGCAGACGCAGCTTTGTCCGGTATCGCGTAACACGCATCTCAAGGTGAGTCTTAGGAAGCTGCCCGCCCGATGCGGACCTCCCTGAGCGACAATTAATCCTTCATGCGAAAGTAGAATCTGCATTTTGCTCACGTCCGACTGAAAAATGGACGACGGAGGATCTTCAAACGCGAAATTCAAAGGGGTCGAGGGAGAGATTTCTCCGGATTTGATACATTTTATCGCGTCCGAACAAATTTCATCGCCGGCATGCTCCGGGACGACCGACGTTTCGATCAACAAGTACGATCGTTGGACTTTCCCACGAATACGTGTCTTTATCTTAAAGAGAGAATTTGCTCGAAACGAAAGATAAGTCTCTTATTGAGAAATTATCTGTCTCCTTTTATATATTTATTGTAATCAAATAATATTTTACTTGGTTGAACGATATTATTTCGAATAATAGCGTTCTTTCTGCCAAATAATCGAGTTTTCTTGAATGAGGCAACGAAATTTTCACTCGAACAAATAATATTTCGTATATGTTGCTTCCATGAAAAGCGAACGTTTCGCGCGATCGGGGATTTCGAAGTTCGACGCGCGCGCGTTGTTTATCGACCGGCGGACTGTTTTGCAAAAACGAAACGAATCAAGGGTTATCAGTTTTTTGTCCGGCGAAGCCGAGGCACTCGTTTGATTGGACGCTATCGGGCCGTATAAATGCGCCGTTCCTCCCTTTCCTGCCCGTTATTTTGTTTTTCTTTTTTTTTCACGGCAACCCCCCGCACTTTTGTTTGCCGTTTAAATCGTCGATCGTGATTATTCGGCCGCATGCGAGAGATCGAGTCAGCGCGAGGATTTCGAGGCCGACGTAACGAAGCAGGATATGGACACGCCCGTTTCGCCATTGACTTTTCATGCTTCTTGTGATCGTTGATATTGCATAAACGGATTAATTAATTTACTTCTAAGTATGTTCTGAGACATTAAAAAAAAATACTGTGAGAGATAATGATTTTTTCCTAATACTTTTTAAATATAATTTTTAACAATTAAAGATTCTTTGTAAATATGTCAACATATTAAAAATAAATACGCACAATATATATAAAATTAAATGCTAGAGATGAAAAATGAGAATAGCTGCGTTTAAATGCGAACGATCTTGATCCCAGGAAAATCTCGATCCGCTCGTAAAGGCCGTGATCCGTTTCGTATTTTGGTTTCGCACGCGGAAGAAGGCGAGACTCGTTTCCGAACGACGTCTCCCAACGTCGATGCGCTGATCGGCGCATCCTTACGACGATGGTCGCCGCACACGTTCGTTGCATCTGAAGAACGGCCGTTTTACGGGCGTCGTCCCGTAAATCCCGCGCGAAAGTGAATACGTATTTTATAGACTCGTTCGCGCGGTGTGTGCAACGGGCTCGTAAAGGCCGGATTGTTAAATCCTCTTCCAGGTTGGCGGTGTCAATAGGGTCGGCAGCAGCAAGAGACCGAGCAGACGAAGCAGCTGCGAGAGTCAGGTGACCGGCGACGAGCTGTCGCTGCGCGAGATGACGCCGAGCTGCGAGGAGAAGCCGAGGGTGATGAAGATGGGAAAGAGGAACATAAAGGCTCAAGTGCGTTCATATCGGCCAGTCAATGTCGCTTTGATACCTCGCCGTCTACCTCTCGAGCGTACAGCGAAAGAACGAACAATATCGGCGGCGTAAGAAACTTCGTGAGCATTCGGACTGACCGAAAAACGAGAGCGGCAGATTTGATAGGCGATGAAAGACCCGATGAAACGATGAAAGTCGCGACGTTGACGTCCGAGGATGATACAGCCGGGCATCCGGAATTTTTTGCAAAATTTGGGGAACGTAAAATTGAGAAAATTTTGGGGGAAAGCATCAAAATCGACGCACCATTTCGTTTTTAAACTTTAAAACCCCTATTGTAAAGGTAAAATTGATGTGTACGAATGCATGCCTGCGGCATTTCTCTATCAAAATATATGATGGATTTCTAAAAGTCACTACATATTTCTTTGCGAGTAATCACTTTTTAAGATTTTCAGAATTTACGCATCTAGAAATCAGGCCCCAAAACCGACATATCCATAATACTTATGTATAGGATATATAATAATATGAAATGATCAAAATAGGAGATAAAAATACTGAAATATACATATATGATATAATAGGACGAAGTTCAATACTTTACAGCCGAGATACACGTCAGTTTATCATATCTGTCAGTTTTGGTGCTTTTCTTCTGCTTCAAACTCAGCGGCAACAGATTTGGATTTCGTTCCAAAGCCCGAAGAGTATCGTATTTTTTTTATTCCATAATAAATTATATATAACACCTCGAGCGTCAGAATATTAAGCTAACACGGCACGAGTGTTTTTACCTTCTTCAATCGAAATCATTCGTTCTCGACAACCGTGCGACTTCTTCGTGAGGGTAAAATCTTTACGAGAACATTTCAGACAACGTGGAATTGACTTTTGTATCAGGATGGAAACGAATTTAGATCGCAGAAATAATCAACAGAGACCGAGCTCCGACCGAGATATTTGCTCGAATTTTACGTCAATCGGCGTTTCAAGCGTTGCCGAAACTTTTGAAAGCAGCTCGAATGAGAGGAGCCACTGGCGTGACCAACCGGGAAATCGTATGCGTAGGTGAAGAGGTTCCGCATGGAGACGAAGGCGGCGAAGACGCTGGGCATCATCGTCGGCGGCTTCATCATGTGCTGGCTGCCCTTCTTCACGATGTACGTGGTGCGCGCGTTCTGCCCGAACTGCATCCATCCGACTGTCTTCAGCGTGCTGTTCTGGCTGGGCTACTGCAACTCCGCGATCAACCCGTGCATCTACGCCCTATTCAGCAAGGACTTCCGCTTCGCCTTCAAGAGGATTATCTGCAAGTGCTTCTGCAAGCGGCGCGCCAACACCCTGCGACGCGGCAGCGACGGCAGCCAATTGGCAATGAGGTCGGTGTCTACGCTCTCCCTCTCATTACGATCCGTCTGATCACAAAGCGCGCCCGGTAATTGTACGAACGTGCAGGGGAAAGGCGGGATAAGATGACGAAGCGGGGATGAGACAACAATATGCTAGACTTTCTAAGCTAACAACAAATAATATGTCGGTACTCGTTAGAGGCTTTCAATAGTAATATTTCATTCGTTGTAGCTCGACTTCGATCCGTCAACGATAATGGATGATACAATAAATCATGTATTTTCAGTACAGCCATATGTAATTCTGCGATATTTCTTCAAGGAGAATTACATAATTATAGTAAATATTTTCATTTTTTCGACGAAACTATCGTATGGCATGTGTAAAAACGTATATGACGTATTATTATTTTTCATTTCTCATATCGCAATATTCTTTTTCAAATGGATAAGTTAATGATTACGAGGTAAGACGATGGCGCGGTACATTCGTGTATTCTATTTCATTTTAAATTATATAATTATAAATCGAAGAGATCGAAGCTCGACTCGTGTCTGAACGAACGGGGACGGAGCGATTTCCAAGTTGAGTTGCTCTTAATCCTCCACGTGTGATTAGCCCGCTCGGGGATTACGGTGATTCGCGCGAATCAAGTTTGAACAACGTGAAAGGGTTGTGGAGAAACGCAGCGGAGAGACGAAAGTACGCGCGCGCGAGAAAAGGAAAAAAGAGAGCGAGAGGAAGAGGAGAGAAGTCGCTTCGCTTGTCGAGGCGGGACAGCGTGGTGTAACTAATGAAGAGAATCCAATTAACCGGACGAAATCGCGTTAGCCACCTCGGAACCGCGGCTCGACAATCCTGTCCGTCTCTTTCTCTCTCTCTCTCTCTCTCTCTCTCTCTCATACACACACACACAAAGACACGGTTTCCCGCATGTTTTCCGCAGGAACGAGCGTAGTCCAAGCTACTCGATCCGCGCGCCCCAGCAAGGCGTCTCCATCGACGACTCGGACCAGGACCCGGGGTCGGATCCGACCCACTCGCAGAGCGAGTCCAGATGATTGTAGCACGCGCGGACCGGCGCGCAGTGCGTCGTCTTCAATCCCCGGTCCTCCAAGGCGAGGATATTCTCCTTCTGACGGCGGCGGGCCGGACGCGCATCGTCGGACCCTCGCGCCGCGCGACTCACCCCCGACTGAGTGCCGACGGTTAACAACCACCATCCAGCCGTATATTCACAGACTGACCGACGGTCAGCGTGCTGCGGCGGAGGTGGACGCTACCCCAGGACGGCGAACGCGTCTCCGACGCGCCGGGGGCGCGCGCGAGAAACCGAGGTGGACGATCGAGCGACAAGCGACTCTCCCCCCCTGCCCCTCCCAGCTGCCCTGTTAATCCCCGTTGATCCCGAGTCGAAATTTCGACGTCCCGACCCTCTAGAGGAGGCTCCGTGGCTAAGTATTTCGTAGTTTCGACGGCGCATCAATGGGGCGCCACTTGTAATTTTAGGACTTATCAAGCAAAATTACGCTACCGTATTTATTTATTTCATTAAGCGATCGATGAATGTCAATTTGAAACGTTGTTGAAATGCACAATATTACAAAAATTCAGAAATATTTTCTCTTTCTTTTTTTCCTTTTTATCAATGCTGTATTTGTGCATCAGTTGATCTAACGCAGAAGCGCACAGATGATAGAAAGGGGTACACAAATGTTTGAATATGTGCGTGTGTATATTTCACGTGTTACTGCAAGTCATGAATTTTATACCGCTGCATTATCAAAACAGAAATGACCAATAATCTTGAAATTTATGTATAATGCCTCCACATTAAGTACTCTTTAATACCATAGCAGGTTTTTCATCGAAATCTTATTTTTAGTCTTCTTCTTAGTTTAGATCATTTTTTTCGTATTCTTGTAGTTTCTTTCCTCTCCGTACGGATCAGCTCCTACTGTGTTATAGAATTAAAGATTTCCATAGGGACGAAATTTCGACTCTAAATTTCCTCGTTGAAAGAAAGAACGGGTGGAGACTCGGCTCACCCTCGCTGGTCCATTCCGGCCGACCTGAGCTCGACCTTATGATCGAGGCTCAACCTTCGCCGTCGGGAACACGGAAAAGTGTGCCAAAGTATGCGGCCACGAAGACACGCACGTCCCTCTTTCCCGGGAATTGAATCTCGGCGCGTGCAGCTTGGGAATACCGCAGGCTTCTTCGTCGCGCGCGCGCGCGCGCGCAATCACCGATCGAGGAGACTCGCAGGAAGAAAGAAACGTAGGAGAAGAAAGACGACGAGAGAGACGCGGATCGGGCACGCGTCTTTCCTCGCGAATTCCTCGTTTCCGCGAGAGCTTCGCTTCGACCTGCACCTGGGCTTACGAACGGACGGCCTTTCGCGAGTGGCCGCTTCCGTCGCGACCACCGTCCGTTGAATTATAGCGAGCTATCGTCGCCACACTTGACACATTGCCGATCGATTGGGCGTTCTTCTTTTTTTTTTTCAACGATCGACCGATCAACCGGAACTTTTGATGATTCCGCGGAGAAGAATGGTCTTACCTTCGGATTTTATTATATCAACCGTTGAAGCAGATCGCGGTGCAAATCTACACCATCGATTTCTTCGAATCGTTGCTTTCCTCGAAGTACGATCAAACGTGAATCGATCTTTCAATTCTTCCTTTATTATCAATCAAACAGTTTTTCAATGTTTCTTTTATTATTTCCTATCGGCTTTCGTACCGTCATCATCAGATTTCCCACGTTTCTTTCTTGTATAAAAAAAAATTACTGGGTTGGAATTGACCAGTTCGGAATCGAGTTGTAAGTTGTCGGCGAAAATCGACGATGCAAATTTGCACCTGTGTGTATGTGTGTGTGTGTGTGTGTATGCTTTAAGAGTTAACTCTCACGTTGTACGAGAGTCGTAAAAGTTCATGTCGGGATACTACAGAAATTGTTTACGAAACGCACGGTTTTCAAAGCCCTAATTCGCGCGGTTGGCAATGTGTCACGTGTATCCCGCGCGGATCGCCGCGGAGTAATCGCTCGTTCCGCTCTCGTCCCGGCGCGATCATTCGGTGTAGACACGTGGGTGAAAGTCATTTTCAGGGGGACAACAATATTTTGTTGTAACGAATAAATAAATATACAAGGTGTTTCTTAAGTCGCACATTTCAGGGAATGATTTTTGAGGGAATGAATTTTATGAATGAATGAACAACAAATCACGAACAAACTGAAGAGATTATGAACAAGCCAGCAAAAGTTCACAGAAACTTTTCACCTCCGTGAATCTCAAAAATCAGCTCTTGAAAGATTTTTAAGGGCGATACTTGAGAAATATATCTCGCGCATTCATTCATTCGCCACGGTAACGCACAATCTGCCCGAATTACTTTTCCCCGTGTGCACGATCGCCGTGTATATTCACCTCTTCCCCTCCGCGATTGAACGTGCGCCTTTTTCCATACAGCCACCCCTTCCCTCCCCTTTCGCTTGCTTCCTCGCAACCACTTCGCTCTATTTGTCCCGATCGGCAACTCGCGAATGAGCTGACTGTCTGTGTCGGGTCTCCGCGTCCTCCCAGCTTCACCGGGACGAACGATCGACCGATCACTCCAGGGCTAACCGCGAGACCGGTGGTCGATGTGTCGGTCGTGTCGTGGTGTTTCGCGTCGTCCTCAGAGAGAAGATTCTCACGGGAACATCCTGTACGGTTGACCCTGTTCTGTAATCTTTTCACACGGGTAAGCTATGGCCCACAGTCTTGTTTTAAGACGTGAGTGGTGAGCAAATTGACCGACCACGCTCGATTATTCCCCTAATAACGACTGAAATTGGTCAGTTTGCTTGTGTGTTATAGCAAGGAAGTCGAAAGTTACAGGATGAACGCGCCGCCGGTGTCATCGACCGATCCCTTCGAACAAAAGGGCCGACGCACCGTCGCCGCCGCTCTCGCCGCGATCGAAGAGAGACGAGACGCGTTCGTGAGGCGCGGGTATAACGAGCGACAGCAGGTCGCTATGTACATATCGGTATCTATGCATGTCGTTCTACCTTCTATATAAACCGATGTTCGCGCGCACGCTCGTATAAATCGGCGTTTCTCCTCCCTCCTTTCTCCTCAGGCTCTCCTTCCTCGTCGTCCTCCTCCTCCGTCTGCTGCTGCTCTTCTTCCCTCTTCTAGGATTCCTCACTCCCCTCACTCTTTCCCTATCTTTCCTCAGCCTCTTCCAACTTCCTGCTTTCCGCATCTGCACGATTTTCCAGGACGCAGCTGGAACGTGGTTACTCTCTCTCTCTCTCTCTCCTTCTCGGAGAGATGCCGTTTAATTCCTACCGTTTTTTTCTACGTTACCTCGCGACTGTACAAAGTACATCATCACGTCACGTCGTTGTATCGCATGTGTATGTGCAACGCACACACGTACACACACAGGCGTTATTATTTTGCACGAAACAAAGCAATATACTCGACGCTCGCGCGGAGGACTCGGATTCCACGATCCCATCGTCCCTTTAGGTCGTTGTCCCTCAGCCAGGTTTTTGACGAGAGGGGGCGGGCGAGAGACTGCCGATCGACTTGAATGCGTGATTCGTGTATTATGTGATATGTATATCGTATAAATACGTAAGAAACGGATGAGAATAAAATATGTGAATACGTACGAACGGAGCCCGCTGTCAGCCCTCGTCATTCGCGCCATTCCGCACACCCACCGGGCGCCATGACGCCCAGGTCAAGAAGGTCAGCGGGAGGAGAGCGTTTCTTTCGAGGTATGCCAGCAAATTATCTCCCTCCGTGTAAAACAACATGTTTTTACTATAATTTCTTACTTTAATGTTTCATGGAAGAAATAAAGTCCTCCTTTAATGTTGCGTTATTAGGCATCTTTCAACGATCTCGAAACGGAGATGGTTACATAAAGGAAGAATAAAAATAGTCCCTGTGTTCTTACAGGAAATGAAAATACATCTCTCATTCGTAAAGTCTTCTAGGATTGTCGTGCGTACCATTTCAAAGTTAAAAATTAGCTTTAAAAGAGATGATCCGCGTCACCAAAGTCTCAAATATCAAATTCGATAAATAAAATAAAATATTAATATTTATTTATTTCAAATATTACATTCTTTTTTAGGTATTGTTTACTACGTAAGATGGAAACTAGAACTAAGTTTTAATTTTAACTGTTACACCTGTGTTTCGACGTCACAAAATTAACTAGAATTGACAGTTTAGGTTCAGAATAGAATTTTTGGGTTGACCAGTGTAGTGGAATAGTTAAAGCGTAATGTTTGATAATCAATTATAATTCGGCTTTTATCAGCGTCCGTTCTTGCTTACGCGTTCGTGATATGCTTCAACGGTACGAGTACGTGCATAAAAACTTGTTATGGTCCAGTGCATTATTGCAAGACGGGAAAGTCGTCAGCTGCGACGACGTTCAGTTCGTTTAGATCATTTTGATGCTACCGTAAAAAAAAAACCACTCTTGAGCGTCATGAACAGCACCGTAGTTGGGAATTCAATTATTTTCCGGACCTACTAGTGGTCGACGGATTCCTACTCCAACGGCCGGCTCCTCTGTAACGCACTGCGTTATATCGTGAAAAAGGAATCGTATATATCGTGGGTTTAATATCAGTAAAATGGAAGTATTCTTTTTTATAGTCACCTATATACCACACATTTACTGCAGCCACCATAATCGGAAGGCACTTGGAGGCGCGTCGTTATCAAAAGACTCCTTAAAGACTCCGTCTCGTTTCTTCGTCGCAGCCATCTTGGCATAAAATATCGATAAATACGATAAATACGTAAAACGAGACAAGGAATTTCTTTATAAGAAAATTATCTTTCGTTTCGAGGAAATTTTTTATTTAAGATAAACAAACATATTCGTTGAAAGGTCTAACAATCGTAGTTATCAGTCGGAACATTAGTTTCTTTGGAGCCAATGATGAAATTTGTTTGGATGCGATGGAATTGATTAAATCCGAAGGAATCTTCTCGGTGCACGAGAGCTCGTGTCGGAGTTCACGTGAGACACAAGTCTAGTGTGCTGGTACGTTCGATGACCGCGACATCCGTAGTTTCCGGCGTTTCAGTCGCTTCGTCCGGCTTCGGCCGGGTTCCTATCGCAAGCTCCCTCCGGTTCCTGTCGCAAGCTCGGCACAATTCGATTTGGACCTCCTCCGCGCTCTTGGTCCTCCTCTCCGGTACCAACGCGGAGACGAATGCGGCGCCGATTAAACTGATCATACCGAACGTGGCGAAGGACGACGAGGTTCCCATGAGGTCCACCATGTTCCGGAAGCACTTGGTCGCCAGGAAAGCCAAAGTCCAACTCCACATCGCGACAACGGGGACGGCCGCGCGCCTCGCGTTCTCGGCGAAGAGCTCGCCGAGCATCATCCACGGTAGCGGGCCGAAGCCGAGGCTGAAGGTCGCGATGAATACCGCACACGAGAGCAACGGGATCCAGAAGACGCTCGAGAGTTCGCGCGAGTTCTGAAACGTAGGCAAACTCGAAAATGACGGAAATGCGCTTGAGAAGCCCCACGTCACGGCGTGGTGAGATATCGAAACGCCGAATCCACGATGCACGAGCGAAACGGGAAATAATTAGGAACGATCGAAAATGATTAGTTCCACCGATGTTAAATTGTATAAATGTATGTATAAATTGTATAAATTGCGTTATCGATCGGACGTCCCGCGCGATTGGAAGCCGATGAATGTTTCATAACGCGGCGAAGCTTGCCTGGAAATGGAAGTATCCCGACAGCGTGAACATGGAGGTGGCCATCGTCGACGCGCTGACGAACAACAGTAGCTTTTTGTTCGCTCGCTCGATTATAACGGTCGAGAAACAGGTGGCGATCAGTTGCACGACGCCGACGATCACGGACGACAGAACGGGATCCGGCGATGAGACGCCCGTGGTGTCGAAGATCTCACTCGCATGAAATATCAGGGCGTTCACGCCGGAGAGCTGCTGGAAAAATATTAGACCTGCAAAACGCAGCGATTTCAGGCACCGATGTGACGGGAACCGCGAGAGAGCCGGAAGATGAGTCATTCTTACGAGAAACTTTTAAATCTTTCTACAGTTTCTTTTCAATGTATGTTTGATCATTAATGAATATCCAATTTTACTGAGAAGGTATATTTATTAGAATATTATCAAGTGATTTAACGTAGAGCCAATCGTCACAGTCGTGTGTTAATTTCTACACAGCATTTCACGTCTGATCTGATTTCTCTTTCAGACAGTTTATTTACTTTACTTTTTCAAAGCTCTGACATTTTATTTCTCACAATCATTTTCAATTTTACGCCCTAATATTATACCTTCGCATTCAGCAACCCCTTTAAACCTTTGAGAGTAAAACTAGGCAGGCACGTCCCAATGAATGAAAAAGAAAATAAAACAAGTTGAACGTGAAAGAGCTAAAACGAAAACCGTGGAATGAGATAAATTCCGCGATATTAACATTCAACGGCATCAATTATTTCGATGCGAATTATCGTCAGGAACGATCGATCGATTCGAAATGAGATGAATCCGCGCAATGAGTTTAATGCGAGACCGTGCGTACGCTTTACCGAGCACGATGCAGATCGGCCGGCGATGGCGATGGTCCCACAGCTCGGAAATGCCGGCTCGCGTTTCCGCGACGCGCTTCGTCGATCCCGTCTCCGCGCGAGACGAGCCTCCGAAGTGGCTGAGCGTGTCGCACGTCCTCCGGTCTTGCAGCCACACCGGTGATTCCGGCACGAACGGCAAGGAGATCAAAAGCAGAGCGGGCGCCGCGGAGCACAATATCGCGATGACGCACGCGCCATCGGCGAATGCTGCTGCCAACAATCGTGTTATTATTTCGCTTATCATTTCGGCCGAGTTGTTGCGAACTTGTTCCACACCGCAGAACCTCGCGTCCGGACCGCACCGTTCTCGCGGTTTCCACTTTCAGCGACTCGCCGTGCGAGCGAGACCGCGGCAAAAGTCGCTTTTCACACACGACTCTTCCTTCTCTCTCTCTCTCTCTCTCTCACATCTTTCTTACTCCTTTACCGCAATATCAAACGCTCGAAGTAACGAATTTTGCGAAAACCGCCTCGAAGACGCAACGTATTTCATTCGTATTTTTTTCTTGGCACTTCAACACGTACACGCTTAATTGTGTCCTAAGAAAGGATAGTTCATTCAATATTACCAGGTCGCCTCGTCAAATATTAATTGTCCACCCTGTCAATGGATTATCGATCAGGACAGTAGCCGGTGGAGAGCCGGACGGAACGGGGGGATCGTTTAGATTTCTCGTACGACGTTTTTTTTTACCGGTGGCGTACGCGAAGAGGATCCCGGCGGTGATCTGCGAGCGGAAAACGCCAAGCGAGTCCCAGGTGCTCCGCCGCTCGGCGATCTCGGAGATGAACATGGGAACAACGACTGATGCTGCGCCGCACGCCGACCCGGCCGCGAACCGTGCCAGAAAAAGCCTGCCGATGGGAGAAACTAGATTACGTAACTTGTACTTTACGTAGTATTTTTTACGTAACGATTACTTAAGCGGGAAATCAATGAAACCGTATAATGAAACGTATAAAATCGCTCGCCCGCTCTCAGGAACGCCGGTGAATGTAACCGAGGAAAGAAAGAAAAATTCTATCGCCTCTAATCACATTAGAACGTTATCGAGAGTGATTTTTCGCCAAACCGGCTTTCCCCGCGAGCAAACCGCCGTCACCGACGACACCGATCGGTGACAATCGAATTTCGAGATTTCCCGAGACCTCTCTATCTCCGTGCAGCCGTGACGGAAAGAGAGACAATAAATAGATAAATGCGTTCATTTGCAACTCCGGAGGGATTCGGGGGGACGAAAACCTCCCTTACCAAGTCTCGGTCCGCGCGAACGCGACGATGTACCAGCAGGTGAACAAGAGCACACCGGCCGCCCAGATCGTCCGTTTTCGGCCGAATTTGTCCGCCAGCATCACCGCCGGCAGGACGCTGGGGATCGCGCCGAGAGGGAGCAGCGAGGTGATCCAGGAGGCCTCCTGATCGCCGACGGATCGCAGCGTGTCGCTCCTCCGGTAATGCGGCAACGCGGAGGACGACCACGACAGATACGTGCCGATCGAGAACGCGGCTAGTGTCGCTGAAACACACACAAGCGTGGTGGATACACGCGAGGAGGCACGTGTTTATCCCGGAGAATACGGGAAGGGGGGGCTTTATTAGATTTATCCGCGAGAGCGCGCGCTTCATCCTCGGGAATATTCTGTCCCGAGAATTTTACCCATCTCGACGCCGTTCTTCGACGTTGCTGCTTCCTACCCTCTCCTCGGCGGTCCCGCGAGGAACGACACGTTAAACCACACGCTCGGCCGACTGTCTATCGAGAGGACTAGTTTCAACCACGATTTACGAGTAAAGCGGGGTCTACAGTGAGAATTTAAGACGTAAGAAATGGATCACAGTCGAGTTACGGAAGAAAAGTCGATTGTGATCGGTCAATTTCTCAAATCTTACGCCTTAAATCTCTGATAGTAGACCCCGCTTGAGTCTCGATTAAACCAAGACTTAGCTTGAAGATTGATGCGTCATTCGCGCGCGCTCGCACGCGAAGAGAGACTTCGGCCCTTTACTGCGGTCTGATTCCAGGTTTTTCCAAGGCGAACGCAAGGACGTAAGTTTACACGCTTTCACTCGCGATTAACATATTCATGGCCGGCCGAATCGAAAGGAATCTCTCTGTTTCTCGAACGGGCGCGCCAGTCGACGTGATATCATCGCGCTAACTCTCCGCGAGACTCACTCACCCACGAGCGTGCCCACGCAGCGCGAGAATTTCGAAGTCGTCTCCCCCGCCGCAATTAGAGGCATTGTGCGTGAAATCGACGCGGAGCGCCGCGGCTACTGGAAAACACGCCGAGGAAAAACGGATCGCCGTGACGTCCGGCTCGCGCGAGCGGCATCCAACTGAAGAAGAAAGGAAAGAAAGAGAGAGAGAGAAGAGATAACCGCACGCCGTTATCTCTAATAATTCGCCGCGTTTTATCGCGCCGCTACTCCCTTCTTATCGACGTCCCGTTATCTATCGTGACTCTTGACGCTTACGTAATGACCCGTGAACTCCACAGCGCTTCGCTCCTCCTTCCATTTCCCCTCCCCTCCCCTCCCCACTCTCTCTCTCTCGCTCTTGCTGCCCCTCTCCCTGGAAATTATCCGCATTATTACACAACTCCGGCGTAACTACCGCGCGTATCCGCGCGCTCTGCCGGCATAATTGCGCGCAGATAAAGTTCACCCTCAGACGCCATTCAACGTCGCTTACGAGCCACTTTCGGCCGCGCGTTTCGCGCGCGTCGCATCCGTTTACGACGCCGCTTCCCCTTTCTCACCTTGAGCGCAATGCGTATTCGCATTGCTGAAAACGCAGCGCCTCGGCGCTCCCCGATCGCGTGTGGAAATTGCTCAATCTTCGCCTCGGGCGTGGAAGCGGAGGGCAGAGCGGCGAAACCGTATTTTGTTTTCAGGTTCTACAGTCCCGTTGAAGATGCGATCGGTGGAGATTTGCTTATTAAATTTATTATACTCATTTATATTTAAGTGTTTGCATGTACAATATCATACGTCGGATGGAGAAATCGGAGGAGTGACGAGAGAATTTGCGGAGACAGCGAAGATCGCGCATTCCCCGTCTGCATTTATCTCAGATATGATCGAGTCCGCTGACGATCTTGAAAGTGCGCCGTCGTTGAGTCGTTCTCTTCACACCGGCCCGTTCTCGCGACAAAGATAATGAGAGAGGGTGGATCGTCTCTACGATGTACACCGCGAAATAATTTATCCGGTAGCGCTGCCGCTATCGTGAGAGTAAGCTCGACATTGTTATAAAACAGAAAGAAGGGCGAGGGAAAACGGGAGCAAAGTTAGTCTTAAGAAAGAGAGAGGGAGAGAGAACGTGTTCGAATACAAATCAAGTCCGCTCCTCCGCGTCCCCGCGTGAATAAATATCGAACGGACTCGAGATGCATTCGCGAGGATATTTCCTCGAGGATCCCCGACACCGATACCTATTAGAGAGAGAGAGAAAGAGAGAGAGAGAGACAGACGTCGCATTTGCATACAGATTTCCCGCTGAAGGACACGCGCCCTCCTTTTTACTCCGTTCTCGTCGTTGCGAGCGAAGTAGCCGTTAACTTAAAAGTAATCGGCGGCAAGCGGCGAACGTTTAAACGACGCGCCGATGAAAGGAATGCGCACGGAGGGCCGCGACGTCGACATCCGTTTTCGCTCTTCCGGCTCTCGCGGGAATTCGCGAGAAACAACATATAGATGTATAAACTACGTTCGATGTTGCGGAACAGGCGAGTTCGAAATTCGCCGTTCCGAAGAGGGATTGTCTTCTGCAGAGGGTAGGATCGGCTCGACCAACGTCTCGTATCTCACAAGTCGACGCCGCACCTCGGAGAGACGAAGGCGCCCGCCCGGGACATTCGACGCGGGGAAGGGCCGTCACTTCGCCTCGGGGAGGTTGGTCGCCATCACCCGGAACCCGTTGTGATCGGCGATGTAGTGCACCTGCTGGAGAATCCCGTTAGGATCGATGTAACTGTAGGCACCCCTGGTGGTGCCGTCGAGCGACCTGGACTCGGTCTTAGCGCTCGAGTCCCCGGAGTAAGTGTAGTCGTACTGGCCGAGCGAGTCCTGCGTGTGATGCAGCGAGCTGTGGAGGAATCGGTATGGCAGCACCGAGAACACGTAGGGCGTCGGCATGGCCAACGGTCTCTGGATCGACGCAGCGAGCGGCGTCAGTTTGCCGAGGTGCAAGGCGTTCTGATTCTGAGACGTCCGCTCCTCGTCCTTGAAGAGCGCGTTCTCCCGCAGCAGCGCCGACGATGCGGGCAGGCCGGTCGCCGCAGTGGGCAGCGAAGGCGCGGACGTTATCTTAGAGAGACTCGGATCCGGCTTCGGCACGTCGATCTTGTCCGCCTCCGACTTCGCCAGTAAAAACGGATTCTTCGTGCTCTGCGAAAATGGAGAGCAAGAATAGAGGACGAAGAGTTAATTGTTTCCTCGGCGCTGCGCGCTGAAAAGGGACTCGGTCAACGATTACCAGACGTTCCGTCAAATGGTTTCAACTGAATTATTTCGTTACAGCGCCGTTTAATTAAATTACTTGGAGTTACCTTAACCGAATCATTTAATTGATATTATTTAATTAAGTAATTTGGGTAATTTTGTTAGTTTTCTCCGGTACTTCAATACTTGGACGAATATAGAGGTTTCAATTTAAAATATCGATTGTTAGCAAAGTTAGTGTAACGAATTTAAAATGGGAGGACCAGTAAAAACCACGTTCTCCTCTATTGTAGCCTTTTGCGGAGTGCAAATTGTAATGAGTCGGTTAAATTTATTATCATGATTTTCGTGAGTTTTATTGTTTCCTTAAGATCTAGGATAGGACAAACCTCTATCCCATCCTGGCTAAATCCACGGCAACATTGCGTGATACTTGGAACGGGCTGGGAATGCTGCGAGTGACGTTTCAGCGGGTACGCTCCGGTCGAGTGATGTTATTTTGTAAATTTCGTCGATTGATCGGTACTGGTAGTTTAATTTGATCGCAAGAGCTCCTCACTTTATGAAATAACACACGTGGATTGCGTGTTTTATTACCGCTTTATTTGATAATCCGTAATATGGCAGATTGTGCGATTTTGATTGACCGAATTTGCGCACCGTGCACACACAGATAAGTACACGCTGCGTTCATATAAATGTTACTTTAAATATTTCCGTGAGTTTATGTATCCGTAAATATATCATAAATTCATCGTGAGCATCATATTTATTCGAAATACATTTTGCATCCTGGTAAGTTTAATACTTCAATCGAGAATATTAAATTAAAACAAAATCGCGTTATTTATCCAAATTAATCGAAACTAACTTGTCGATGAGATTTCATCTAATATTCTCGAGAAAAGAATAAATTTTTCGTCCACATGATAACGAGCTTCGGAAATTAAATTAAAATTAAAAAATAAAATCTGTTGCATATTTCAAGATTATTATATATTATAAAGAAAAAATATCTTTCGTTGAAGATAAGCGTTGCTTAAAAAGAAGAAAGTAAACTGAGTAATCGATGACTTTTCTCCGTGCGTATTGGAACGAGTGGAATTTTCCGGGCAAAACTCACCTCCGCGTCTCGCGCGTTCGAGTTCAGCTCGCCAGCCTTGCCGTTTCCCTCCTCCTGTTGGATCTGCGCGAGGCTGAAGTACGACGGCACGATCTTGTACGACAGGAGATTCTGATCCTGCCAATTGATCGCCTGATGCGACTCCTTCTGCAACTCCTCGAGATGGTTCCGCTTGGCAGCGGCCACCTCCGGCGTATCCTGCATCGTCTGCAACTCATCCTTGGTGGACGGTTGCGGCAAATTGCTCGCGCTCACTCGGAATCCATTCTGATCGTCCGCCGTGTACGAGACCGTTTGCAAAATTCCATTTGCATCGATATAGGAGTATCCTGCGGGCGAATGGAGATAATACCCTTCGATAAGTAGCGCGCGTCCTCCGGGAAGCCGGGAGCGGAGGAGGAAAAGGTATCGGTTTTCTCTCGCAGGAAACACCTCGATTGCTCGACGCGATGCGAACTATTGCGTTTTCATTCGCTTGACATTTGTTAATTTTTATGTTATTCAAACAACACAGTACCGGCAAGTCGGCCAATAGAAGACCCGAAACGCAGACTTGAAAGGGCGTCGAAATTCATTCCGGGAGGAGTAAAATCAAAGCGACTTCTCTCGCCGAACAATTTCCTCCGTCTTTAATTATTTCAATTAAGGCTCCTGTTTCTTCGCCGCAGCCATCCTAACTGACTTTAACGATTCAATGTATAAAACCGTAAAATTAACGCGTTGAGGTGAAAAGATTGACTAAACGAGGAAGGTTGCATGTCGCGCTAATCCAGCAAACAGCGATTAGCACTCTCGACAAATCTTCCGTCCGGACAAATTTTTTGCCGTCTAAACAAATGTCTTTCTTTAGCTGTCACTATATCGACAAACACTCGCCGTTCCAGCGAAACTCGCTCTCTCTGTGCATTCGCGCGATTTCCACGCGCGAGCGAAGCATCGTGAGTCATCCGCGAGCGAACGGGCGAAAGATGAGCGATTCGAGCGCAAAGCGCGCGCGCGCGCATTGTCATCGGAGGAAATTTGCAGGGACGTATGGGCGTCTTCTTGCGTCACGCATGCCGTGCATTATAGGCGAAGGATTCGCTCATGACACACACACACACACACACACGTAGGCCGCGGCTCTCGCAAGACTTCGGCGGAAAGAATGCCATTCCCATTTATGCATTTCTCGTCGTCCACACGGAGCGGATCCCGGAGGGTCCCCGGACGGTTATGGCGGTTACGAAAGTCGGAGACGCGCGAGAAGCCAAAGAAGTAACGAGGACTCACCACCCTGCGTCACGCCGTTCAACGTGGATTCCGCTTTGGCATGATGAGGCCCCGTGAAGGAGTACTTGTACGCGCCCGATCCGTCTTGTATGTGATACTGCCTGAGCGGCGAGAGGGCTGGTATCGGGCTCAGCCAGACGTTGGCGGCGATCGGCGAAGCGACGGATCGCCCGACGACGACGACGAGGCTGCACAGGATCGCCTACGGAGACAGGGAAAATACGACGAGTGATAGTCAAAATGATGGTTTTGATAAACGCTCGGAAGAGAAAAGGCCGGTTGTTTCCCCCATTCCTCCTCGGTTTCCGTTTCGAGAGTGGACAAATCTGTTTAGAGGAATTCAGGTGTGTTCAGTTAAGATCTGCAACGTTTGCTTTTCCCTTCTCTTTCTTTCCGAAGAAACTTGAAACTACAATCGAAATCACCAGTTCAGTTATCATCCATGTCTATAAGATATGTAAAGAGAAAAAATGTAGTAACTCCGGTCGAAAGTACCGGTGTCGTCTATCTCGATAAGCTGAGCGATTCGTGCACTGAGAAAGAGAAATTGAATTTTCGCGAAGCAAATGTTTCTCGTTGGTATTTCCTTCGATATTTATTGGTCGGGAACAAATTTAACTGCGATGACAGAATATATATTTTTATGAAATATACCTCGGTTTTCTTATTAATTGGTTTATTTACCGAGAATAAAATTTTATTTCGCCGTATTTGAATAAACATTTATTTCTACAAAATAAACCTTGCGTCTCAGAAATAAATTTTCAAACCTTTTTTTCCCAATGCAGGTCGAAAAGTGGCAAAGTTTTCACATAAATTTTCACGATATTTACTTATTTTACGTTTCATTTATTTTCAATGCATATTTAATTATCTTATGATGAGCGACTGACCCACTGAGTTTCAGTGAGCGTGGTGGCCGTGCGTGTGCGTTTTAATTTTAATGAAATACCGACTGTGACTACGAGCTCGACTTACACCCGCAGAGTTCGCACACGCGAATTATTAAAGGATCGCCGCGGCGGCCAATCTCACATCTACCGTTCCGGCTCACCGGCATAACGACGACGACGACGACGAGCGTACGCTTGACGAGCTCGGTGCCGAGCGTTTCATTTCACAAACTGACCACGACCCGTCATCGAGCGGTCGTGTTTATATACCTGCGGCTAATTAAATCGCGGTGCACCGCGAGAAGTACGACGGGAGTACGACGAGAGCGCAACTGTCGTTACACGCACGGAGAGACATCACGATTTTCCATCGAGGAGATCCGCCGGCTGCGACAAGCCGGTTACTTTCGAGGAAAGACGGAAGAAAGATTAGCCTTAAATAACAAATGGATATTCTCACATATATACAAGCAAAAATATTATAATCTTCTTAGAAAGTGTTTAGTCTTCAAATTGACTTCAAGTAATACTCGCATCGTTGTAGAAATTCAATCAAATCGAGGCGAAAAGTCTCCTGATCATGATATTCTTGCTTACACATATGAGAATATCTATTCTTGATTTAGGACTAATTTTTTCCCCCGTGTGCACCTCCTCGAGAGGCGGGATAGAGTCTCATCGATCGCGAGGAAATCCAGCTCGATACGAGCCGGCCGCTCTTCTGCCGGCCCTCTGCATTCGTCATGAGCATTTTCCGAGCGAGGGAGGCGAAGCGATTATTCGACGAATCGGTGAATCCGCGCGGCTTCGAGTCGGCGAACGGGCTCCCGCAATTCGGCCGAATCGATAGTTATTACCAGGCTGATATTAATACCGGGCTTGCAGACCCGACGTATTATTGACATTAATGCGAAGGTAAATCTCCTCAGAACGCGGGCTAAATAACGCGATCAAACAACGCGGATTCGACGAAACACGCTCTCGGCAATGTACGCGCGCGAGGGAACATCTGTCGCGAGGCGCGGCGGGCCGAAAATCCGCGAAGAACCGTCGCGCAGTGGTTTGAAAAAAGTAAAAACTCTTGGCCAGTTGGAATCTTGATAAAAGTGATTCTTCGCTTACAGAGAATGTCTTTGAAGATGAGAAGTAATTACACAGGGGAAAATAGTCTTAAATCAAGAATCGATATTCTCGTGAATTTTATCGCGACCCAAGAAACATTCTGTCTCAGAGCACTGTGTGCGCGTCGGTTCTCCCTGTACGGGAAAGCAACGTCGAAGTTTACTCGCGCCTTTCGCGAAATTAGACTTTTAATCCGATCGAGAAAGAGTGCGCGCGAGCGTGCGAGGAATCCTCGAGGATAATAGCGAGGAAACGCGCCCCGCATAATTCACATTCAATGTCGTCGATCCGCGCTTCCGATAATTAGTCCAGTAATTAGTCCGGTAAGAACGCGGTGCCGTGAAAGATTAATCAGTGGATTCACTCACGAGTATCATGATCGTCCCCAGGTGGAGCAGGGCCGCTGGAACCGTCGGTCGATCGTGACCGGAGTGCTGATCTCGGCCGTCTCTCTCTCTCTCTCTTCTCCTTCTTTTTTCTCTCTCTCGCTTACGATGCCTAGGATAATCCCGGCGAGAGTCGGCTAACGGGTGTGTGAGAGTGCAAGCTCTCTCGGTCGCATCCTCTTATATAGGAACCCGCGGGGATCCGCCGGGCGCGCTTACGGTGGTTCCCCACCAACACGGCGCGCGCGCTATTGCGGCCCTATTTGCGGGGCCCTACGAGCGGCGCAGAGCGCGCAAACGCGAGCGAACGCGCTCGCTCGCAGGGCCCGGTTGAATGCTCGTAGCCACAAATCACCCCGAGTTCGATTTCCAGGCCGATAAATCAATGTTTATTGGTGGTGCCGGCCGTATACGAGCCGTCGATCTCCTCGGTGCGCGCATTCCGGGCGCTGAGGATGCGTTTTTTTCGACTCTACCCCCCTCTATGTAATAAGGATGCACGCACCGCTCTCGTAATAACGCCGCAACGACGGAACGGCGGAGGGAGGGATAGAGAGAGATAATTCACGCGGGGCTGAGATTTTAAATCTTCTGTTCGGGCGCAGCGGGCGCCGACTCGTCGACCGGCGATACCGCCTAAGTAGGTGCATAAATTATTTCGCGCCGATCTCGGATCTTTACCCGAAACGAGTTGCGGTTTTTTCGACGGAATTTGGGGAGACGGTTTCATGCGATGAAATGAGGAGAAGAGTTTTACAGGTAACAGTTAGTTTAATACAGCGAGAAAATCTGTTAAGACACACGGAAGAAGTAATTTTGCTGCTGCGGCGAAACGTGGTTGCGATGAAATTCAATTGACGCTCTTTGGCGAATCTTTTTTTGAAAAAAATTAGCAAATTATTTGGAGAACGAAAATAGTTTTCTCGCCCAGGATAGAGGATATTCTGCCGAGCGAATCTGTTCTCAAGACACGTTGATTCGCTGTCGAAACGAAATAATGTTTCCTTACATTTGCTAATTCAATTCATTCTTATAGCAAGATAGTTTGTAGATTCAGAAAAATAATCCAGCGATTAATCAGTATTCTTGAAAAATTGTCTTGCCGTATAGTAACCAACAGATTTTCTTGTGACAGCATAAAATTTGCTGTGCTAGCAAATTATTTCTCTCCGCGTGTTGAAGGACACTATACAGGCTGTTTCACCTTGATGATCACAAATGGTTGTTGGCTATCGGATTGTTCTTAAAAAGGAGTTTAAAATTATTATGCTTGGTTATCTCCGTTCCGCGTTAAATCTTTATTCTTAATCTTAAAACGAACAATATACACTGATAACCGATAATATATCGGTTATACAACTTATTTAATCGCAGATGAAACATGTACTATAAGCAAATGTAGAATAATCCAATAAGAATTAATGTGGACAGATATATGATTAATGGGTGAATAAAACAACAAATTATATTTCTCCGTTATCTTTTTACGGTACATTTCCTTCATTAGCATTGGAAATAAATATCTGTATATCTGGAAATAAATGATGTATTGCTGCTCGCATCCCGGCTTCCCGATTTAACATCCTGCTCGTAAATCAGCATAGACACGATTCAATCGGAAAGAACCGCGTGTTAATCAACGCGATGCTCAATCTCACTCTCACCGGCGTCACGTTATTTAACACGTGTAATTTCGATCGAATCGTATCTGCGCGAGTGTCAGAACTGCCACGACGGGACAGAACCAGGATGCGAAAGGACGCAGGACATCAGAACGTATAGGCAGTGACAAGTTATATATTTTCCAGATACGTCTGATCATTTGTTACGCGGGAATTTCTGTTTCCGACGGACATTTGACGAACTCGCAGGAGAAAAGAAGCAACCGCGTCGGAATTTAGACCGGCACTTATGATGCGTCATCGTTTAACGAGTAATTGTAGCTTCATGAATCCGCGATCATTCGTTAATCTGTGTCGGTACCTTGTTATATTATTTCATACAACAAGAAATATTACTAAACGGAAATCCAAACAGCCGAATAATGGTTCCATGAATACGAACATGTAATTAATTATACTCTCAAATCAGAGGTTAATTAATCTCTCAAGGATCGCAAATAATTTACAACTATGAATATCGGCCAACATTTGCATTACATTAGCCTATACATTGCCCTAAAATATTAAAAAATATCAGCTAAATATAGTACATAATATATTTTGAAATATAATCGAATATATTAAGTGACTCTTGAACGAGCTTGAACGACGCGGATTCTTCTTCGACGTGGAAAAACGTGACGGTAAACGAGCGTTTGCTGCGCCAAGGTAAGAGACAGTGGCCGCGTTCGGCGGGGAAGCAGCTTTGCATACTGTCGTAAAATTGAATCGTGAATCTGAACCTGACGTACAACTTTTAGATTCAACCGATTAAATTCAAGAGATTAAAAATACACACCGATCAGATTTTACAACCGCTTCAAAGCTGTTTCCCCCGGCTAAACGCAGCCGACAGCTCGCGTGACGACGTTACATCCCGGCATTTTTCACGGGCCCTTCAAGTTCGACGGGACTTGCCGGGTTCACGCAGAGAGTCAGAAAATTTCGGACTCGCCGGGAAGACGACTCGGCGCGCTCCGCGGGAGCGAGCGAATCAATTAAAATCCAATTGTCTCATCAATGATCACTTCAATCACTTGCCCCCGCAAATCCCCGGCACAAATTGCGAAATGTACTCTCCCGCCCAGAAGGCGATACCGATATATCGCGCTTGAACACAATTCTATTGAAATCACGCGATATCGCCGCTAATGACTAAGCCGTTAAGGTAAGCTCGGCTAGTTTGTTATTGTCGTACGGTTAATACCTCATTACGCTCGTAATCAAAGAGTCTCGCGTAATTTATGCGGACCATCGCGTGCAATTTCCATTTACTACCGCTAAAACCGCATTAATGCCGGTTTGTTCCGCGTATATATATATATATGTATATATATATACTTACAGGACGATCGCGCGGACGATATACCGTAATAAGCCACCGCGCGCCACGTCGCGACGCGAAAACGACGAGAGCGCACGTGCGAGATTATCCGCGTCGGCGAAATGACATCGCAAGGGCACCGTAATGGGCGACGGAAGAGAGAGCGGTATCGTGTGCATGCACCGATGCGAATACACGGACGTTGCGCAACCAAGTCATAGGGCACGCCGAGAGATGAATCCCCAGGGCGATCGGCGCATCCGCCCTGTCGTGATGAATCGTCGTCACCCTTAAATCGGAGCGATCCGAACCCCCGGTAGAAAAATGTTAGGGAAAACAAGGATATATCTTTAGCGGCTTTAGTATTATTTACTTTTAATATTATTTTTCATGGAACTGTATAGAATCTTTTCGCGTAAATTTATCTTCATGTAAGATTACATATTCTTGCTTATACATGAAAATATGAATTTTGTATTGAATTATGAATCTCGAGAGAGAGAGAGAGAGAGAGAGAGAGAGAGAGAGAAATTGAAACAATCGTACACTTACAAACGATATGCAGGCATTTCGCACATCCAGGCGCGAAATCCGGCGAGAGGAATTGAATGCGGATCGAAGAAAAATCTTTCCTCAGAGCCGAGTTTCGTCGAACCTGTAATCGCACGTGAAGTTTCACGTATCCGGGACATCCGACTCTTGTGTGCGCCTCGCAACAAAAAGTTGTACTAATTTTAATACCCCGAGGCAGAGAGCAACCGTGCGCACCGTTGGTATCGGATTCCTCCCGCTCCGTGTGTGTCGGCTGAATTGATGATTACCATTGTTTTCGCTTCGGGGGAGGGGGAGGGCTTGATTTAGGATCACCACCGTCTGTCCGGTGCCTTCTCCTTGCATTCTCAACGCATTGCATTGCGCATCGGAGCCGCACGTATGCGCGGTTAGATAGTCGGCTCTACGAGTGCCATTTAATGTGAGATGGAGAAGGAGAGAGAGAGAGAGAGAGCGAGGGGGAAAAGGAGGAAGGGGAGCTCCGTTTAGTGCCAATGTCAAAACCAACGCAACGCCGCCCACGTGGTCGGCGCGCCGGCTGAAGAAAGAATCCTCTCATCGGCGACTTGTTGCGCGAGCAACGTGAGTAATTCCGTTGGAATTGATGAACTCGTTACGCTCCCATATCGTTCCCTTACATCTCGCCGGATTAAGCGAGCCGGCCGTAAATTCGCAGGCCGGCCGTTATTTATGCGAATCGGCGAGACCCGCTCGAGCCCCGCGGCCTACGTCCTGCACGCTGTCTTTCCTGAAGACGCCAACCCCCCGCACTCCCTCCCTTTCCCCCTCACGCCTTATTTTGCCGTCGGTATCGTTTCATCCCGGCCGTCCGGTTAATTGCGTTCGCATTTGTTCCTATTTGCCGGAGGACCGCGGGCTTACCTCGACTTTCGCCGCGATTGTTTTTTCAAACGGACGCTGTTTCAACCCTCTCTCTCTCTCTGTCCCCCTTCCCCTTAAAGACTCATTAAATCGATGCGTAATCGTCAGTTATTATTATCCCTCTTCGATACCCATTCGAAGGAACGCACGGCGTCTCGTGCGGCCTCTCTCACGGTCTCGGAATTCGCGGGACCGCTCGCGGTGTCGCCGTGAGCCGGGGGAATGTTCTCGCTGTCGGCGTAACTTCTCCGCCGTCGAGAACCCCGGCGACGACTTCAATGCCGAAGCAACTACCGCATCGCGCTAATCGCCGCCACGGAGTTCTCCCGCAGCCTAATTGCGCGCCATCGCTCGACGATACCCGCGTCTCCGCCCCGCCTTCGCGAACGTTGCTCGAACGTATTGCGCGAACAAACTCGACGGCCGCGCGACGTCTTTATTACGCCGACCTGTACACCGCTCGTAAAACTCTCCTGCCGGTATAACCGCGCCGAGAGAGCGAGCGAGCTGATCCTTTAACGCCCTAACCCTTGTCTTTTTTTCCCTCCCGCCTCCTCTTGTTTCAGCCGCTCGTCGTCGTTGTGAGTCGCGACGTATGTTGAGAAAAAAAAGACACATCCAACTCTCTGACATGCCATCTTGTTTTTCGGGCTTTAAAGCCTGGTCGAAGGCGTAATGTTAAAATTTACTGGCGCGGATGC